CACCTGTCAAAACATGAGCGTTTGGGGGTGGTCTGAGGGCCAGGTGCTGCAGCGGGCTTTGGAAATAAAATGAAGAACATCAGGCAACAAATGACCTCGTCCTCCTGGCTGGCCCCCTCTAGTCCTACCCTCTGTATGTCCTTCAGCTTTCTGTTTCTAAAATACTGTTTCTGTCTGCCACCATCCCTCTTAACAAGCCATGCGCCTGCTGATTGAAATGTGTAAGCGATGAGCCAGACGCTGCCCTAAGTGTGGAAGACTCTTCCTTTTCCTAACACAATTTCCAGCAGAGTCTTGGTGGAGGCATAGGTAGAGAGCTTAGAGATAACTATACACTCAAGGGGAGACAGGAATTGTACAGCCAAGCATGTAGTGTCCTTTTTTTTTTTTTTTTTTTTTTTTCTCTAGCCTGTAGATTACAATGGGAGCTTCTCAGCACTGGGTGTAACAGCGCCACCTCCCACCTTAGTCTCTTCGTCTTCTCTTAGCATCGCATTTTTGCCTTCCACTTCCCAGCTGGCAGAGCCAGCCTGCAGCTCCCTGCGTGCACCAACCCCTCTGCTCCAGGCCTCCGCCCCTGCCTGCCGCTCTTCCTTGGGCTGCAGTCAGGCTTCCGTACCTGTGAGTCCACATCCACAGCTCCAATCACCTGCAGGTCTAAAATGTTCTAAAAGAAACTGCCTGTTCTGAACATGCACAGACTTTTAAAGTTCCTATCATTACTTCCTAATCAATATGGTGTAACAACTCTTTACATATAACTGAGTGTACTGGGTACTGTCTCTTGGAGATGGTTTCAAATACATGGGACGTTGAGTAGGTACCATGTAAGTGCTGTGCCACTTCATGCCAGGGACTTCAGCACCCTCAGACGTAGGTACATACTGGGGTTCTAGAATCAGGCCCCTGGGAATCTGAGGGGCGACCATATTTCCTGCTTCTGTTTCCTGCCTGGAGAGCTCACACCAAGGAAGTGTGTGTGTGTGTGTGTGTGTGTGTGCGCGCGTGCGTCTGTGGGTATGTCTCCTCTCTTCTACTAGAAGTACCAGATTACTTCTGTGCACATTGAAAGCAACCGTCCCATCACCCTGTCTACATGCCATGTGTGGCAGTGCTGTCCCCATGGTTTCTCCCCTTAGGGTGCAAACTGCTCAAGATTAGAATCCGTATCTTTCTTGGTATCACCTTCCTAGACTCTAGCTTGGAATTTGGTCCAGAGTAGATGTTCAGAAAAAGATTGTTGACATTAAATTGCTTACACAATCATCTACACTAACATGGAGATTAGGAAAGAGAGACACAGGTGGAGAAAGGGTGATTCAATGGTGGCGAGGGGTGGGAGGGAAAAGGGAGGGAATGTGGGGAACACAGAGGACAACAGTTTTATTCTGAAGGATGCTACAGAATTTTCTGAAATAGACAAAGTCTGTGTGGGCCATTATCCTGGCGTGGTCATCCATGTGGATGCCACAGAGTGAGGAGGAGAAGCCATGCTCATGTGAAGAGAATGAAAAGGCTTCCCCTCGTGTCTACAGCCTGGGGTGCTCCTGTGGGCTGCTCTGGCCCAAAGCCATGCCCCGGACACTGCACTGGCCACAACCTCCACATGCACTGATGCTCAGGAGAGTTGGGCCTGGCCCACGCCATGTACCAGCTCTGTCAGTGTCTTGCGATTCTTCTGGACAGGAAGGAGGATAACATTTAACACTGCTCCTGCAGACTCCTGGCTCCTGCAGGTGATGTCCCAGAGGGGGCGAGGAGATTTTCACTTCCTTTGCTCCTGAGCAGGTGTTGACTGCACCCTCCCAGTGCAGAGAGCCTAACCTGCTCATCTGTCACCTTTTATCCCTATGTTGTTGGTGGAAGTGAAGGGATTTGACTTTCGGTCCAAGAATACAAAAACAGCAGTTTCTCTGCAGTAGACTCCACCAGCTCCTTGCTTGGGAATCGGGTTCATGTGACAGAGTAGAGCAGAAACTGCTGGACACTGTCCCTAGCTTCTCACATGCGTCAGGCAGCTGTGTGCATAGATTGCGTGCACACATGCTACCTGTGCAGAGCAGGCCTGGCTGGTCCTCCCCAGTGGGCAGGGCTGGCAGGAAGCTGCTTTTGGCCTCAGTAGAGCATCTGGCATTCGGCTACCAGTGGAAAGAATGGAAAACGACCTTGTGGACACCCATGTGAAGTCCTCCATCTCTGTCCCCACTCCAAGCCTGCATTTCCTGTCACTTCTGCATAGAGATCCCTGTGCACCTGCTCACAGAGTGAACTGAAGGTCACCTTCTCACCCGATTGGTTTACATTTTTCCCTGTGAATGATGTGAATGTGGTTTCAGGGAGTGATATTTGGCCCATTCACAAAGACACTATTTTCCAGCCCTGTAAAAAATCATTTCTCAAATTATGAACAAACAAAAATCTACATCAAAAAGCAAAAAGGGAGGTAGGGCTCATATGGGGAACCAAAATGCTTTAACTCTGCAGCCAACATGGTTTTATATTTGAAAGCAAAATGACTGGAAAAACCTGAGTGACAGGTACTTTTGTTTATCCTTGATATTTGTCATAAGCTTAAGTACTTCATAATAAACCTGGCGTGGAGCATCTTTTGCATAGAATTAGAGAATTTCAACAAGCGGCATGGCCATTGTAAGTTATATTTGTTACAAATATTGTTTCCAGCATTTAAAGAAAGTTCACTGGTTAGTCTTGAGGTATGTCTTTCCTTTACAAAACATGTTACCATTCAGATTATTTTTTAAAAAAAATTTTATTTCTCACAGGTCCTCACTATGCAGTTCAGACTCATAGTAGTCCTCCTGTCTCAGTCTCCCCAGCACTGGGGTACAAGCATGCAGCACCACGCACAGTTTTGGGGTCAAAACAGCCTGCCTAGGAATTGAACCTGGGTCCTTGAGCTTGCTAGGCAGGCACTTAGATCACTCAGCTATCTTTCCAGCCCTACCATTCAGATTCTTAATCAGTTTAATCCATTTTTGGCCTCATGCCTTTGCACCGGAAAAAAATCTGACTTTCCAAAAGTTGAGTTACATTAAAATTAAGCCAAAATGAAAGATAAAGATTTTCTGAAATGTAGTGAATCAGTGTCCCCTAAAGATGTCTACATGCTGAGAATTCACTATTCTTTTATTTGAGGAGGAAAAGGAACTTTGCAAAGGAGGCTTGATAAGCATCTTGAGGTGGAGAGCAGAGGCTCCACCCAGGCAGGCACAGTGAAGCTGAGAGACTCCTGGGAAGAGGGAGGAAGGTGGGCCGGAAGTGTGGAGGTGTGATGTGGGGTGGGGTGGACCTGGCTTGGAGTGCAGCGCTGCCTGGATCAGCTGTGCCTCTGAGTAACTGAGCCAGCGACTGCCCTTGTCTTCTTCTTTATAAAAGTGGGCATGGTGATGCAGGAACTTACCTCACACCTCTCTCAGGAGGCTGAAGTGACATGGCCTATGCCTCGTGCTGTCACGGCACCTCACAGAGAAGGTGCTGTTGTGTGGATTGGTGTCTGATGAGCCATCAACCAGCTGAAGGTGGTGTCTGTGGCTCCTGTGTTTGTGGCACATTCAATAATATGCCATGGGTCAGGGAAACCACATCAATTCTGTGGGCTTCATTCACACAAATCTAAAAGAAAGATCTGTGTCCCAGAGGGAGCCTGTGGCCCAGGCATGGCCCTCGCTGGGTGGGGAGTCTCTGAGTGTGAGGTACAGAAATAAGTGCATGTGTTTTCCATGAGGCCAGCTCTGCTGCCCGCAATGAAAGGCACTTGTGGTGATGTGTGACCTGCTAGGTCTTAGCGCAGGGGACTCAAGGTCTGCACCTTTGTACCTGATTGTGTGCTCCCAGGAGGAGGATTTGCTAGTGACAGCAGGCATTGCAGGGGGAGGGGTCTGCAAGGTGGGGCTCAGCCAGGACAGCACGCAAGGTCCTCGAGGTTCTGAGTTGTGGCTCCTCATCTTGGAGAGGAAGGCGGGGCAGCTCGCATTCACTCCAGCCTCGATCTCTTCTGCAGCACCTCTGCTCGAAACATGCTGCAGGTACTTTACGGTAACCAGGCCTCTTCAGCTGGCTCCCAGGGCGTTTGCCTCTGGGGTCGGATCAGGCTGGTCAGATACTAGGGACAGACAGAAGCCCATGTGTGTGGCAAGGCAAGAGGGCAGCAAAGAGCCAGGTCACATTTGGAGAACTGCATACCACCAAGGCCTATGGCCCTGCCAGGACAGGGTGGGGCCTCGGCGACAGGAAGTCATCTGTCCACAAGGAAGTGTATGTCCACCTTAGGCCCCAGACTTGGCATTGCTCCAGGTTGCATGGGTTTCATACTAAAACAGATGACGTGAACACAGAGCCTAGGACTTGTGGCCTCATCCTTTGAGAATAAATACAGAGGGAAGCAAGCAGAACAGTTTCTCTCCTTTAGGAATGCTCAGCGCTTACAAGTGCAGCTTGAATTTTACAGATGTAGATAGATAAACAGGAATGAACAGCACTGAGGCATTGGGATTAAAACATAAAACAGCAAATGAGTAGATAAGATGTTGGAAGACCTCAAGACCTAAAGAGAAGGAGCCCATAGTCACGTGAAGGACATGGGAGAGGGGAGGGGAGCAGCCCCAGGTGGCCCCTGTTCCAAACTTACGGTTTTATGCTATTGTCTAAGAATTTTAGATAATGAGATATATGTAGAAGGTGCTAGTTCCATAGGAAGATAAAGGCCTCAAATTTCTCTTTGGAGCTGTGTAACTGGAGGTGCTGGGTGGGAGTGCCGATGCCAGAAGACCTACTGGTGTGTGGGCCGAGGGCACGGAGGGTTGATGCAGCCCTCAGAGAGCAGGGACCCCAAGGTCTGCATGGAAGTCACACCACATGCAAAGGCCGGCTAGCAATGCATGGCCCGGGGCTGACAGTGAGGCTCTCACTCGCCTCGGAGCCGGGTGCTGCGTTCCGGGTAGGGTCCTCGTATCTCCATGGAAGCGCTGTCTTCCCTCCAGGATCACCGCATGCGCAATGACCATGAACAAGTACGTGGAAGAAAACGTGTCCCAGAAGTCCTACACCACCATCAAGTACTTCATGAAGATGCTGAGCAGCGTCAGCGAGACGCTCATCTTCATCTTCATGGGCGTGTCCACCATTGGGAAGAACCACGAGTGGAACTGGGCTTTCGTCTGCTTCACCCTTGCCTTCTGCCTCATTTGGCGCGCACTGGGTGAGTGGGCCGCACGCACGCGTCACTTCCGGTCTCACCATGCATCACTTCCGGCCGCTTAAACGCGTCACTTCCGGCCGCTCAAATTAAAGGAGGGGCTTCGTTTCTATGTGTCTTGTGCCAGCGGCTGCTGCTTTGTCTTTATTCCTGCTTCCTCCTCATATCCTTTTTTCTCTTCCTTGCCTTACAACTTTGCTCTGTCACCTTCCTCTTCCCTTCCCTCCCCCTTCCTGCTCTCATCTTGTCTCCTTTCGCGTCTGCTTCCTGTTCTTTCCCTCCTCGTTCTTTATAGGCTTCTTCCTCTTCCTTCTTCCTCTGGGCTGCTTTTCCACATTGCACTCGCCTCCTTCCTCTTCCTTCTTTCTCCTCCTCTTTCCTCCTCTTTCTCCGTTTCTCGCCTCTTGCTCTCTCCCTCATCTCTTTTCCCTCCTCTTCTCCCGCTTCCTCCCCCCCCCATCTCCCCGAGTCCCCACATCCTCTTCCTTCCCTTCCCCCGGCTGCAAGCCCGGTCCGTCCCCCTGGCTTCACCTGTCACCCAGGCTCGGGGCGTCCTTACCAACCCGGTGCCACCGCGGGCGCACAGAAGGCGGCGGAGCCCTTGCGCGGCCTGCCTGGCCTCACAGTCTGTGTCCTTCGGGTCTGTTTCTGCCCAGGTGTCTTTGTCCTGACCCAGGTCATCAATTGGTTCCGAACCATCCCACTGACCTTCAAGGACCAGTTCATCATCGCCTACGGCGGCCTGCGAGGGGCCATCTGCTTCGCGCTGGTGTTCCTGCTCCCTGCCGCTGTGTTCCCGCGGAAGAAGCTGTTCATCACGGCCGCCATCGTGGTCATATTTTTCACCGTCTTCATCCTGGTGAGTCATGTCGTTTCTTTCTGAAGGACTTTCCTTGAATCAAGGGACAGCGAGCTCTTTCCATCTAATGTATGGATTCTGCAGACAGCATATGAGGTGACAAAGGTGTGTTGGGGGCTCAGGAGCCTTATGCGGGAAACATGATATTTCCTGTCTGGGTTCAGGTCGCTAGCTTATCCAGGGCTCTGCGACAGCCCAGTGTGGTCACCTGGCCTCTGCAGGGTTGATGTGGTGGGCGGGCCGCGGAGCGAGCTCAGCCTAGTCCTGGCGACTCCCGGCCGCGCTCGCCTTGCCTGCCTGTGCGTCGTTGTGCGACACGGCAGACAGGCTCGGCGTGGGCTACCTGTGCTCTGCAGTCGGGTGGCTACCCTGGGCCCTGAGCTGACTGCCCAAGCCAGCAGGCTGGGTGAACTGCGGCTAACTACTGGGGTGCAATAGATGCCTGTTGAGACCACAGGTGAAGTAAATCGGACACCCAAGCTTAAGCATCACACAGTTTCTCCTACATAAGAAGCCCAAAGTATAAAAAAATGAAAGAGCAAAATAGCAGACAGAAATTAGGGAAATGGATCTTTTGCAGATGGGAAGGGAGCAAGAGGTAGAGAGAAGGAGAGGGAAGGGACAGGAACATGAAGCAAAAGAGTGAAGGAGGGTTGCACAGGTGCACCGACCCCACGAGAGGAAATCATCCTGCACTGCAACAGTGAACTCATAAAAGGAAAGCCCTGGGAGCCGGCCAGGTAGTTCAGTGGATTAAGTGCCTGCTTAGGCAGATGCAGCTACAAGAGTTTGATCCCCACTGTGCTGTGCCTTCCCCACCCCTGGGGTATGCTGAGATGGCGATTGAGACTGGGTGTGGTGGCCTACACCTGTAATTCCAGTGCTTGGAAGGCTGAACACAGGGGGATCACTGAGTCTGATGTGTGTAGTGAGGCCATGTAGAGCCTGTACAAATTACATTAAAAAAGAAAACAAAACTCTGGAAAACAGGTGAATTTAAAAAAATAGTAATAGTAGTGATAACATTGGAGTGCAACAAGTGCTGACTGAAGTTCTGGACCCTCCTCACTCTCCAGCAGTCTACCCAGCACCTGCTCGTGTGGTTGGTGTTTGCGGTGGACCCTACAGGGCTGCACAGATCTAGAATCCCAGCAGGACTAAGGCAGGAGGACCCTGTGCCCAGACCCGAGTCTGGCGGGGGTGGGTAGAGGGAGGAGACAGGCTCGTGGCAGGAGTCCAGTGGGTGAGGGCTTAGGGGAGCGTGTTGAAGGCGAGGGACGCAGTGTGCAGGGGAACCGTGGGGACAGCCAAGGAAACACCAAGCCTGGGCTAGTGCACCCCCAACCTGGCCTTTGTGGATGGGAGCAGGGGAGCTTGGGAGGGGAGCAGAAGCTTCTGGAAGTTCTGCTAGGGAACCCCACCTGACAGAGCTGCAGGGCACCACGAGCTGAGAACCAGGGCGCAGGGCTGGGTGGGGAGCCTGGAGCTGGATTGCGAAGGACCTGCAGGCTGATAGCCCAGGCTTTGCTGTGCCCGTGCAAAGCTTCTTGCTGACCATGGGTGTAGTGGGGGGGGGGCGTCCTCTGCACAAAGATGCCCCCAGCCCTGTGCCAAGAGGCAAGGGCAGAGCAGGGTCTGGGGGAAGGTTTCTGTTGTCACCAGGCTGCCCTGTGATAGTGGGAAAGAGGTGTAGACGAGTGAGACCCCAGGATTCAACCCGAAGGTGGGGCCGCAGATTCCCTGGTGGTCAGGAGGGAAAGGGGTGCAATGTGCCTGGGGTTTGTCCTGCAGGCCCTGAAGGGGAGTGTACATGGAAGGGACAGGCAGGAAGTGGGCAGCTGGGCCACTGGCAGCACCTGGGTACGAGGACCTTGGGAAGGAGTCACCCACTTTGCTGTTCACGCCTTGTTGGAGCAGGTTGGGAAGTAGTTTGATTTGCATTAAGCATACTCATGCTCCTGCAACTGGGCCGTGCCTGGCAGGGTGGAGTATCCCCTCTGCCCTCCTCCTGGGTCTCTGCCTGCCCTGGCAACCCACTGCAGCCAGGGGCTGCATCCTCCAGAGGTGACTGTGTCAGGCAGGCCTCTCCACAGGGCATCTCCCAATGCCTAGCCTGGAAAACCTGGCCTCCTGCTCCAAATACCACAGGTGCACAAAGTGACTTCAGAGAATGAGGTCGTACAGCCCAGGATGCAGAACATGGGCTCAGATGGTTTATTCTGTTCATCAGATGTAAAATTCTATCTCTGTGGTCACAGGAGGCATTGTATGGGGAAAATAGCCAGTACTGCAGAAATGTGTAGCATTATTTATGGAAGGTGTGTAGAGCTAATTAATGCAGAGCTTCACTGTTACATGTGCCATTTTGGCTGTTTGAGATTGAGACTCAGCCTGGAACTGTAAGGAAGATACTGATCACCCGTGGTAAGCTTCTGTAGCCCTCCCTCCTTGAAGGAGCGCTGTGTGTATTGGCACACATCCTTAGCCTGTTCTGTGACGACCTCACAGTGGAGTGGCCTGCGCTGACCTCATCGCTGACTTGTAGCAAGTGGCCTGCCAGCCCCCGTGGGGCGCCACTCTTGGGGGAGCACCAGTCAGGCTGTGTTCGTAGCAGCTTGGCCTAGACCTTCACATCCTGCACACTCAGACCTTTATTCATGATGCTCAAAGCAAATAACAGAGTTCCTGGTGTCCGGGACAGAAAGTACCGGTGCACAGGTTGTGTTAACCAAGGCCTTTCTGTGGAGGTGATGGTTAACCTGAGGTGAGAAGGCCATGGAGTCAGCCGGGATGTGGGCAGGGAGCATTCCAGAAAGGAGGGGCTGACTCATCCCTAGGGGTGGAGCTCACGGAACACAAGTTAAGGTGCTAGGGGCCAGGAAAAGAGTAGGGGTAAAAGGATTCAGGAAGCGGGGGACAGAGCTTGGAGCCCAGGCAGAGTGTGGCTGTGTTTCGTGGTGCAGGGAGCCGGCCTGCTCTAAGCCACTGCCCTTCGCTGCATCAGTGATGAAGGAGCTCAGTGGAGGAAGCCTGCAGGGAAATGGTCCTGGGCGGCACACTTGGTGAGAATAGCCCGCTGCAGACGCATGTGCAGGAGCGCCTTCTGGGCAGGAGGTACGCGCACTTTGCCAGGTGACAGCTTGCGTGCTGACTTGTTATTCAGCTTTATTTATTGTTTTTTAATAATTTTATTGAGAAACAAATAGCCATGAGACAGTTTCCAAACCAAGTACTAGCACAGTTTGAATAATTAATACACTGCATATTGTTGTCTTAGTGGTTATTCATTGTACAAGATACAGACATGATATCCTGTCTCAAACACTATTAGAACAAATCTCTCTATTCATTGAATTAAGAGAATGGAGCTGTATCTCTATCCTAACTATTTTAAGTATGCAGATACAAAATGATCCTTCATTTGTATCCCCCTTTTTTGGTTAGTTTTGTCAGAGAAGGACATTCCATTGTCATTTAAATATTGTAGGTGCGTGAATTGAGCAAAATATTCCAATATAGTCCAGTAGTCCATAATAGTAGTGGGTTACCCATAGGACTGGCAATGTCAGAAGTTGTTGACTTGAGCCTTTTACAACTCAGCATATTAATATGGCTTTACTTTTTATACTTCGTTTTTATACTTTTCTGCTGGATAGTTAAGACAAGATAAAGCAAGACCTATATAACAAGAAATGTAAGTTTTGTATCTGATAAGGTCAGTCAGATCCCTTCAGGATTTATCCTGCAACCCTGTACCACAGTTTGTAGATCTTTTGTCAGTGTCAGCCGTGTGCCCATTAGCTCAGTAGTTTAGTTATTCAGCTTTAAAATACATTCCCACCCCTTGTTTCAGTATTTCCTGGAGGGCGAGCTCTTCCTGCCGGGTCTGCCCAGTCAGTCCTGTCTTCACAGACAGAATTTCAGGTGTGGCGCACGAGTGGCTATCAGGGCCGGCCCTGAGGATGCGGACGCTGCCTGCGTCGCGTTGCTGGTTTGGCCGCGTGGCATCATGCCGCCAGAATGACACTCAGGGAATGCTGAAGAAGTGAACGGTTCTGAGTCCTTGGCCAGTGTGCTCCCGGTCCTTGTGGTACCATTGGTGATACTATTTATACAAAATATAAGTAAGTTTTAAGTGAAATAGTATTTTAAAATTACACTCACAAGTAGGAGCATGGGGACAAAGCCAAGGCACACTTTAGAATGAGGCCAGTGTGGTCTGCGTTCCAGCCTGCTCCTTATAGCCTCCATAGGCCTCTATTTATTTAGCTGGGAATTGTTTTAATTTTTTTTTTAAAGAGAATAAAAAAAATACAGAATTTCATTAAAAAATGATAGGAATTCAACAATGGTTTTGTATTGCATATTGTCCTCAAATTAGTCATTCGGCTCCCCAGAGGTGAGTGTGCAGAATTGGTCCTACTTAGTGGGAAATGTCATGGTGCTCACCCATCACTCTCTGCTGGTGCCGGAGTGTGCGTCACCCGCCAAGGAGGATGCTTGGCGCGGGTTTCTCCCCTCTCTCCCTCCCTCCTCCCTCCCCCCTCCTCTC